GAAACCGGGGAAGCCCCCGGAGGAAAACTCCGTGTTGCCTAGACCACGGCCTTGCCCAACACAAGTTATAAATTCGGGCACAGCCGGGAATCGAACCCGAGACCCCAAGATTAAAAGGCCAGCGTTCTAACCGCTAGACCATCGTGGTTGAATAAATACTTGCATACTATGTAGAATTTGAGGGTTTCACGGCGTTGAATCCGAAGACAGCAATCTTAATTTGCATACTATTTTTCTATAACTTTTTAAATCATGAATAGTGGCCAGTCACAGTTCATCTCAAACATAGGACGTCGATCATACTTCAGTGCTGTGTTTTATCTGTTGAAACGTCGTAAATCTGTGTGTGTGTGTTCCAGAAATACCCCTTTCCATGGAGTAATTTCACTACTTCAATTTCAATGTTAGTTGTAGTCGTTTTGTATGGTTTCAAACCGCGTTCTCCTGTCTGCATGGAAACACGTAACATGGAATTTAGAAATAAATTGCTAGAATATCAATTTGGAAACAGATTGATAGAACAGCATCTGAACCAAAGACAGATAAATTAAATGAGGATTGAAACTTTGTAATTTGTACAGCTTCCCTAGGATTATTACTGTGACATGGTCATGGGGATTAGTGTACATTGTGGGTCAGGGAGAGCAATGCGAGTAGAATAATGATGCGGAAACCTTGTGGAAAGTGGTCATTCAGTAGAAAATATGTTCATGTCAAATAACAATTATTATAACAACAACGAAATATTAATCTTAAGGAAAAGTGTTGTGGAAGTGTGAAATGGACAAAGCCAGCTTAGTATAAGGTATAAAATAAGATCATTTTCGAGTAAGTGACAGAATGATTAATGGTTTATTTAACGACGGAATTTCTGCCTGCTTTACGTAGCCATAAATTGTAGTATGATCTTGTGAATTATAAAATTAAAACGATGTGTAATGAAGTAACAGAAAGTTGCTCTAAATAATACACCTAATATTCTGGAAAGGTCCCAAGTAAAACTACGGATTTTATCTGCGGATGGGTAGAGATTTTAACCCTGTATCTGCCGAAACCGCAATGCAGACCAGTCAACATAAATATTAAATACTAATTTAAATTAATTATGAATATTTAGATTTTATTGAGTGAAAATTACAGCGAATTTAATGTTTTGCAAAACTCAGATTTGTTTCTATAAAAGCATAGCACTTTAATTTGATGGAGTTTATAAGTTGAGGTATCTTTCATAAAGACGAAACCCTGGAATGAGGTTTAGGATTCACACTACTAATTATTATATGAATCTCTGAAAATAAACCCGTTCTGAATGAAGACACCAGTAGATACAGTTCCTTTTCAGATTCACATCAAAGCAACAAAAATCCGATATTCGCTACCTCATGCCCAAGTTAACAGTGAGCTCATCATGCGTGCAGCGTACTTTCAAGGTACACAAGACTGTCTTTGTATTAATTCATAAACAAACTGGAACGAAATACAACCAGGTCCAACACAACTAGGCACTAAACTTACTGTAACAGTCGATATATTCACATACCAGGTAGAGACACGAACAAGTGTAAAGGTCTTTACGAAGCCACATAGACTAAATCATTGACCTCAATCCTTGTTTATTATAGACCCAAATCTATTTCTGCACTAAGCTGTTAACTCTATGAGGTCAACTGAATTAACTGGAAAATAATGAACGTATTTAATCTTTCATATAAAGCTAATAAATAATTTCTCTGACTTTAATAGATTAAAGAGCAAATTTATTGAATTAATTCAAATTAATATTTACTGCAATTCCACTAAGCGTTTGTATTAATTTCCGTTGGTAGAAGAATTGTACATTGTTACCTGATAATTGAAGAAATCATGTATAGGAAACTCTGTTTTGAGGTAACGTTCAAAAACGTTTATGGAGGGACTGAGGAGAACCATGAAAAACCTCCGAATAATTGTCGACGCATTGAGATTCTTAACTGGGACCTCAAGATAAAGACACGGCACTGGCCTTGTAATCCTGGGGACTCGGGTTCGATTCCCGGCGGTGCCCGAATTTATAACTTGTGTTGGGCAAGGCCGTGGTCTAGGCAACACGGAGTTTTCCTCCGTGGCATCCCAACAATTACTCCATTCACACACAGAAGAAGGCAATGGCAAACCACTTCTGGATCATCTGCCAAGAACGTATATGAACAGGTCCCAGTCCGAGAAAAGGATGGAAGGATCCTGTTCATATGGACCTGTCCTCAGACAGAACACTAAATAAAATAAATATACACTTCTTTAAAGCGTGGAGGAAGCAGGTACCAGGTATAAATTTATGTTACGTTATGTAAATATCGATTATTGCTCACATTTAGGTTTAAAGCTTGGCTAGGACAAACAAAATGCCTATAGAGACTCGATTCGTCAGCTTCTGGCATTCAGATATTCAAAATAAATTAAAATAGCTGGCATTAAAACTTCTTGCTTTATTACGTAACTCGTTATCGTAATGTCAAACTTATTATTTTACATATTTCTGGGATGCCCTTGCACCCGCTGTGCATATTTATTGGAGTTGGTCCTGCTCGACAGGCCTGTGCGTCGTGTGACGTGTCATGGTAAATGAACAGTCGCTTCTCCCCGCATACAAACTCTCGCTTTTCATGCATAAATGATGCACACTACGCGTAGTGTTAAGGGCAAGAAGGGAATAACTAGTACTTTTATAACTACGCTTCTTCAAGCGGAACATCAAACGCCATGGTCGAGTGATTAGCAGTCCTGTTTTGTATTTCTGGGCTTCCGAGTTCGATTCTACCCCCCGAAGGTAGCTATCGGCATCATCGTGATTTCTTCATTCTCTTCAAGTGATGGGATAGGCCAATATCGCTTCATTTAACATTTTATTTTATTTTTATAAATTATCCCGCCACTCGAGGGTACATAACCTCTGCTTTAGAAAAAGAGTAGTTAAAACAACAATAAATTAAGTA